ATATTAGGGCTTGTTTATAGGGAGAAGTTGACCAGAATCCTTATAGTGCAATTGCTCCCTATTTGAGAATCCTATTCTTCATGTAGACAAACCCTTGGCCAAAGCAAACTGAAGTCACTGGAAAAAATTCTCTCTGACTTCTGTGGGCTTTGGACTAGGCCGTTAAGGCTTATGCTACCTGGAGATGTTGCACTGACTTCATAATGGAGCTTATTTCCGCTCATAATCATTACTGGCTCAGAGATGTTTGCAGGATCAGGCCCTTAAAAGGCCCGCTTCCAAATTCAGCGAGAGCCTGCGCCAAAGCCTAGTGAAAGCAACGGAAAGACTGTCATTGGCTTCAGTGAGCTTCGTGTCAAGCCCTCAGTGCAGAAAGAACGTAATAAAAGAGCCCGAGTCTTCTGTGAATTTAGAAAGCTGCAAACATCACTTGAGTGCAAGTTACAGCAGGGCAAAGCAAAGAAGATTTTTTTTTTTTTTTTTTTTTTACTAATTACGGCAGAGTTGAAACCAAAATTCATGGCACTCAAGGGTTTTTTGATCCTTAAATCGGACATGTACGCACACAGATGCACACACAGAGAGAAATAAGTACAAAGAAAACTGATTTTTTTGCAGATCTGTTTATATCCTACACAACTATTCACGAACAGCAGCCAGAATAAAATAGTTTGCATTTCCCCAGACACGTGCCAAAGATTTTTGTAACTTTGAATTCCTTTCTCTGCTCTAAGTGCCTGTTTAAATGTGGGCTGCTAGAGAGGAAGAGGCGAGAATACAATCTTCGATTACTTAATATTAGCAATAGGGCTAAGATGTGGTTTTGTTTTCAATGTTCCTTCCAGGGCAAGGCACTGACCAGTCAGAATGAGCACAGTGCTCACTATTAATATTATGAATATTTTGTGTTTATTATTATGACATATCAATTCTTTACAATTTCATACCCAGAAAGCTATTTTAGAATTGCAAAGTGACTCATTTTATACTTCAAAATATTTCTCAAGAAAGCTACACACCCAAATGTGTGTTTGCTTATATATGTGCATTTAGCAATATTTTATTTTAGAAATGAGAAAATCCTTTACTTCGGTAGCAATCTTTCTGGTTAGAAGAATATAAGCTCAGTATGAAATGAGACTAGCAGTAAAATCAAATACAGAAAACCATCTTACCATTCCTCTTTGTTTCTGGAATGATCATTTCTGGAAGGGTCTTCTGGTAAAACATTTTTCTTATTCTTATTAAAATGAGTTTAGCTGCAAAATGGTTTTGATGCCAGCATACATGCTTCAAGTTATTAAAGCAATGTGTACCTAAACATTACAAAAAATTGCCTGAAATGTGATGGAATTAAAATGATAAGGAATGACATGAAATAATGAGATATAATTATATCTATTTTGTATACTGACATTACCTCAAATTTATCCAGGGGCTATTATATAATGCTGAAAGCTGATTTGATTTTTCATATTGTACCTATCTGGACTCAGGAATAAAATCACCCTAGGACACATGGAAAGTTGTTTTTCACTTCCATTTACCTTAAAGCCCCACAAGTCCCAGGTGTGAAACCTGCCTGAGTTCAAAATGGATTTCCATTGTTTGTCTGCCAGTAGCTAGGACAAGCGAACTAAGGTGCAACAAGCATTGGCAGAAGGGGGAAAAATCCAAACAAATCTAGCGTGAAATATGCAGTTGGATTTGTGTGCAGTGACTCAAGATCTTGAGCACCAACCTTAGGGCACCCTGTCAGGAAACAGGAAACAAACCCCAAATTGGCTGAGAGGTCTATACACCTCTACCTCAATATAATGCTACCCAAAATAACACGAATTCGGATATAACGTGGTAAAGCAGTGCTCCGGGGGGGTGGGGCTGCGCACTCCGGTGGGTCAAAGCAAGTTCAATATAACGCGGTTTCACCTATAACGCGGTAAGATTTTTTGGCTCCCGAGGACAGCATTATATCGAGGTAGAGGTGTACTTGGATTTCACCAACCAAATATCAGGTGTAAACTCCCCTCTCACAAGAACAGCCTTATCACAGAGTTACAGACAGTCCCCTTGGGTACTCCAATCTATTTTGCCACTCAGGTGAGCCTGCCTTTGTGCTAGATGGTTCCTTACACCAAAATTCACAACAATATTCAGGTTACTCCCAGTCCCAAAGGACCTGTCATTTACCCCAGGCCAATTGCACCTTAGATCTCACACCAAAGACAAGGCTTGTAGCCAATCCAATAGTAAACTATATACAGCTTTATTAACTCGGAAAAGGAAATTGGAGAATTATTTACAAGGTTAAAGCAGGTGAACATACACATGCAAATGAGTTCCAATCTTAAGTTTCAAAAAGAAATAGAAGCTTCTATGATAAGCAAGATCGAGATGACTTTTAGGGCTAACCCAGGCTGAGCCCTGGGGATCTCTTGCTCATGGCTAGCAAACGTTGCCTCTTAGGGTTTGTCTACACTACCCGCCAAATCGGCGGACAGCGATCGATCCAGCGGGGGTTGATTTGTCGCGTCTAGTCTAGACGCGATAAATCGACCCCCGAGCGCTCTCCCGTCGACTCCTGTACTCCGGCGCCGCGAGAGGCGCAGGCGGAGTCGACGGGGGAGCGGCAGCAGTCGACTCACCGCGGTGAAGACACCACGGTAGGTCGATCTAAGTATGTCGACTTCAGCGACGTTATTCACGTAGCTGAAGTTGTGTAACTTAGATCGATCCCCCCCCCCCACACACACACAGTGTAGACCAGGCCTTGGAGTCCAAGCAGCACAGAGATACAGTTCTTTCTAGTTAGGGGTTTTTATCTGCCTCCTTCCTTGGGCTCTGAGCTGCAAATTCAGCTGATGGGAGGAATACACATGAATGACTCAACTTCACAGATGGGAAGGGAGGGCAAAACAATCATCTTTTGTCCTCTTTAATGCCTCTCAATA